AATTTACATAGTTAATTTACAAAAGTTCATACATTAATATTTGTTTTATAAATTTTTACTCATAATTTTTCAGAAAAAATACAGCCTAAAAATGTTTAGAAAAAAGAAGATAAATAACTGCATAAGGTTACCTCTTTAAAAATTCTTAGTTAATTATCAGATTACTTTCTTTCACGTTTGTTAATCCGATATTATTGTGGTGAAAATTATATTTTGTTTTGCTTCCGTTTATTCTTAAAGTGTCAGTAACATTTCTTGCGCTTCCAAATCTTTATGCGAATATGCATTTTCAACTTTTAAAACTTGAAAACACATATGTGCGATGTTATCGCCAAGCGATAATTTTGTAGGTGCTTTATTTTTACCATGATATTTTCGGATACGATGTTTTTAAACTGCGAAGTCTTCAACCACAATATTTTGTACCACGATGTTTTATAACTGCGATGTTATATTTTTGCTTTTTTTTCTCCCACGATGTTTTGTACCACGACGTTTTCGCCTTGCGTTGTGTTTTCTCCTCAATGTTTTCGGCTGTAACCTTTTACGTTACACATGGAAACATCTATGTAGTCAACCCGTTCACTGAGATTCTAAATATCTTAAGAGTGTAGAGACATTAGGTATTTTTTGTAAGTAGGAAAGATGAAAATTTAACAACGCCTTCGCCGGAAATCGAACCGCGGACCTCTCAAACGCGTACAGACTCTGAGCGTGCAGACCACTACACCACGAAGGCTCGTTAAGAAGGCGGGAGAAATACCTTATAAGAGTATGCTAATGGAGTTAATGGAAATGCTTTCCCCAAACTTTGATCAACGGTCTTATTGAGAATATAAAATCCACTGTGAGATGTGTGTATGACTCTCCGGAGATCACTTTCCAGATTACTGTTGAACACTTGTCCACATTTGTTTCCGAGGTATCTATTTTTCTTTCCAAAATTTTATTGACAGATATTCAATTTTAATTATTTCATATCATAATTTTTTCGCTCGCATTCATTTTTATCATTTTAGCTTTTATATGTCAGGATGCTGTATCATCCCAAATAAATTAATTTAGCTTTATTCAACAAGTCAGAAATTAATGTTTTACGCATGTAGCTGTAGTTTTTAACTCCACTGATTAAAATTTTTTTTAAATAATTTATACCCCATACATTTCATCATATCTTTTTTAGGTAACTTGAAAATTTAAGCTTCATTTACCAGCTGTTCAGTACCTTTCTATGTGTCGTATTTTACCACCTATATAAAACATTTTAACATTAATTTGTTATGTTACACAAAGTCTACAGGTTATGTTTCGAATGAAATAATCGTTTTTGCTGGGATTTAGATTGTTTAATTTAAGCAAAACTCAAATGTTCTGATCAAGAACATCCTAGGGGACCATCCTGGCTAGGAATAAGTGCACTAATTAATATGGGTAACTTTATCTGAAAAATAGTTTGAATAAATTCAATTGTTTTGCATTAGAATAATTATTTGATATGTATGTAAAATAAATAAATAAAATCTCTTCAGAATGGCAGATTCAAGGAAAATCAAGATACTGATACATGGAAAGAACCTAACGTACAATAATTGAGGGCATTTTCAACCAAGGAATTGTGGGGTGTTGCTTAAATGTGTTGGATGCGGTGCCCTTGAATCCCTTTTTATTAATTATTGGAGCAGCGGGTTCGAAACCATGGTGTTATGTCGTGGAGCAAAAACAATTTTACTTTACACTGTATTGTGGTGAAAATTATATTTTGTTTTGCTTCCGTTTATTCTTAAAGTGTCATTAACATTTCTTGCGCTTCCAAATCTTTATGCGAATATGCATTTTCAACTTTTAAAACTTGAAAACACATATGTGCGATGTTATCGCCAAGCGATAATTTTGTAGGTGCTTTATTTTTACCATGATATTTTCGGATACGATGTTTTTAAACTGCCACTGGCTCCTACATAGCAATGTGAATACTCTACATCTAAAATTTTAAACACCATTCCAGAATTTTAAATGTTTATTTAATAGAATTCTATTCATATATTTACAAGTTATACACTATAAACACAATAACAAAATTTTAACTTATCTGCACCAGCGTGAATAAGCCTGGCATAATTTCTGAATTCAACGCACTTTAGGAGGTAAAATACCGCAAATTCAAACACAAGGGTTTCATCCTTTTCAACGCAGCTAATTTTCTAAATATATTTTACTAATATCCGCAGCGGGGCAGCGGATTCCATTTCATTCACCCAAAACACAAATTTTGTATCGCAATAGTATCGCAAAAGACGCAAAAAAACATCGACTCAAAATCAAAATATCTATAGAATATCATCCGCTGTTGCCATTCCAGCACTGCCAAGTTTTTCTTCCTGCAGCTGTTGCCACACTTATCCTCGCTGTATGTGAGAGGTACAACACATGGAAAGAAAATATCTTACCTTTTCATATCTTACAATCATGCCAACTTTTAATAGGTGTTATGTACATTAGATGGAGCCAGTAAAAATACCGTTTTCACTTATTCGCTCCAAATGATAAATAATTTCAGAATTCTTTCATTCGAAATGAAATCACTCATGTAAAAGGAAAAAAGTATACAAAATTCCTTATTAATTTTGATGGAATATATTGCCGGGTTTATAACAATTATTTGATGGAAAATACGCAAGACTAACTTTTCCAAATCCTGAGCTCGTTTTGGAAATCTCGAAGGTAGATATTAATTGAATTAACATATCGAACGTAGTATTATTCATTGCATCCAGTGGTCACTCAGTTAATGTGATAGTCTAGGTATTTCACCGAAAATTACCCATCCTTCTCACTACCGGTTATAGACCTCCGTCCTCCCACGTGTAAACTAAAACTTGCCGCCTTTTTTATTTTTACGGAAATATAAATATGCTTCATAATAATTTCGCCGACCATGTGCTGTGCACCATCATGCTTCCCGCTAGCATCGGCTGTGATCCTACTATATGGAATGCACTATAAGCAATAATTTTTATTCATGGATCTAATAGGAGCATTTTTGACAGGATGATCAACAGAGCGGAAGCAAGAATCGTACAGTAGGGATTTCAAAAGACATTTCTTATTGAAAAGGAAATCCGAGAATTTACTAAAAGCAACATTTAAAAGCATTTTTTTTTTAAATTTTACTTGTAAGTAAAATATAATTTTAAATTATTTAAATTTTGTTCGAATAGTATTTAAAGATCTGAGAATTAAGATCGAGTTCTAGGGTCTTTTGCTCCACTTCGCGCCGCCAGTTAAGTATATCCCCCAAGTAACAACTAAATAAAGGAAGAGTATTTTAAGTTACAGATATATTTAATTTATATGGCACTGATAGCTTAGGGCGCCAAAAATGCTACAGCCAAGCTGATATAAAAAATCCAATCCAATCAAGAGTCACCAAAAACGTTCAATCTTTAAACAGAAATGAATTTTGAAACTTGAACTAAAAATTATCTGAGCTCGCAGAAATAATGCTTTGCGGCCTTGGACTTACCGATAATGAGCCGCCTGATGCAATTTTAGTCCCACCTCATCGTTTCGTAAGCAATGGTTAGTTATCCAATGAAATGGTGAAGTGGGAAACAATATGTGCAGAAAAGTCTCAGTTTAAAAAATTGTTTCGGTTTACATTTGAAAACTAATCTTTTACTTTTACTTCGACTTTTTTTGCTTGTGTCAGTTATAAAAAATTTGTCGTGCAGTATTGCGGTGACATACATGTAGAGTAAGTTTATCAGATATTTTTAAAATTACATTAAAATAATATAGAGCATTATTTGTTATTATATTGATTTTGTTATTTTCAGTAACTTAAATTAAGAAACAGGTTAAATTATTTTCATATCACTTATTATAGCACTGAGGAAATAAATAATTTCCATTTTATTTGCTACAATGAGATGTAACAGCTTGATACTATAATCTAAAGTAAGACTGTGATTAAAACTTTTTAAACGGTAATTTATCTAATATATTGAAATAAATATTTTGAAAAGATTATGCTTTTCTCCACCCTCTCTAATTTTATAATCGTCTATAAATTTAATTAAATATTTGTGCAACATACCAGGACCAAATTTTCACGTTTACAGTTATCAGATTTCATTTAGCTATTTCTTCACTTTGATCGAAATGTAAATGTACGCACAATATAGAATTAAATATATATGTAAACTTCTAATTAAATATATTTTAAGGCAAGTGTTTTAAATATTAGCGCTGTAGTAACTTGAAATACTAATTTTTGTATCCAGGGCAATAATGCATGCAATGATGTTTTCTTTAAAAATGGAAAAGTACAAATATATAGCTTTATCGATCATTCATTCTAAAGATTAGATTTAATAGAAAGAGTATAATAAATAAAGTTAAAAATATAGCTTTAGTATTTCGGTATATTTATATTTAATTTTTAAAACCACTCCAATGGAATATCTTCGCAGTTTTTATTGTTTTCACTCAGCGGATTTGGTCTTTTAGGAAAACAAAAAAAAAAAAAAAAAAACATATGCCACGTCAGATTAAAATTTGGTATAAGCCTCATGCGCAAGTAACCTACTGAAATAAATGCACAGCTAAATTTTGAATAATTAATTTTTTTTTATCAAATATGTTCATAAATCTCCACGGGATGTTAATTTGCTATAAAACAGCATATCATAGCAAATTTTTTATCTCCCTTTTGACATCTTTTCTTTGATTTCTAACTATCATCTTAAATAACAGATTTTGTGTTCTACATTTTTAATTTCTAAAAGTTTAATCCTTGCATTAAAGCTATGGCTTAGCTTAAAGTTTTTTTCATTACATTGTTCACTGTATTTAGCACAGGTTTAAATGCAATAGCGGAATGTATAACACGAAGACAGGATTGAAATTTCTTTTTAATTGCATGGTTTTTCTATTGTTTAATTATTTTATATTCATTTATTTTTACTTTTTGAAATTTTAATGTTAAATTTTTCAAAGTACTTCTTCGAGACTAGCCTGTAATACGAGGTTTTTAGACCGCAGTTTTTCTTGGTTTTAAAAAGAAGTGATATCATCAATGATATGGTTCTACTCGTAATCCATAGCTTAAAAGATATGCTTTCGGCTACGTACACAAGGTAAAAATTTCAAACAAATTTTATTAAGTTTGCTGAAGCTTTATTTCAGTTGTTAGTTACAGGAATTCTTTAACTCAACTCGTAAACTTCGATGCAATTCATCTAAACTATATTCAGAAATTATCTTTGAAAGCTTTAAATTTGTAGCTACTTTGGCCTAAGGAATTATGGAAATAATGCGTTCTGAAAAACTAAGCAATATGTTGGATTACTTATTGTGAAATTTCTCCAAATTTTATATTATTTGGATGTTTAAATGATTAATCACTGATTTTACTCCATAAAATGTTTGAAATCTAAATTATTAATTTTTTATCACTTGCAAATGGAAAAATATTTTATTAAATGTTTCATTGTTATGGAAGAACATTCGAGGGCTATCTGATTAACAATAGGTTAGGTTATTGGGATATAGCAAAGCCACGAGAGCTATCTGCTTAAAGGGAGAGATGCCGTTGTGGACTACTATCGTATGGAAACTGGTTCATATTTACGTTACACATAGAGAAAACCACGAAAACCAACCATGAGCCAGCCCGTTCGCCAAGGTTCAAACACAAGCCAGGTCGAACTACCAGTATTGAGCGGTAATTGGTTATCTGACTAAATAAGGAATGACCTTATGGAAGAATTTTTCTAATGAAACCTGGCTCATGTTTATGTCACATATGGGGAAAAACACGGAAACGCCTATGCAGCCAGAACATTTGCTGGGAGACTCGAACAGGGTCGAACTGCCATGAATCAGCGTACTAGCATTATTTATTCAGCAGATAGTGGTAAAAAATATTTCATTAAATCTCTGATATCCCAACTTTAGTTTCGACATCAAAAGCATGTATTTTCTCTTTCATTTCCCCTCAAATTTTTTATTTATTAATTTTGGAAAAATTAACTTCTTTCAACAATTGCTTCTTTGTTATTTAATTACGTAATTTCTCTCTCTCTCTTTCTTTTTTTCCCCATTTCTTTCAACTCTGTTGGACCAACGCGTAGGCAAAGCAGTAAGACTGTTGAAAATTGGTTGTGAGATGGAGGTTTGAATATTGGCTAACGACCTGGCTGCATGAAGTTTTCGTAAGTTCTCTATGTGTAACGTTCATACAAGCCAATTTCCTTTACATACAGACTCCTCTTCCTTAAGCAGATCTATCCCAGTAGTGTCCGAGGGGTTAAGACTTTAAGACTTCTAAATACTGGAAATTCAACCTAAGTTTGATTCCAGATGAATGAGCCGGCTGCATGGTTGGCTGTCATGGTGGAACGTGAATACCAGCCAGTTTTCTGTAGAAAGTCCGCCATGAAGGCATTCTCCCTTTAGTTCCTTCCAGATAGTTCTCATGTGTTTGCATATTTAAATAATCTAACCCAAGCAGATCACCCTAGGCTGCCTTGTAATAACTGAAGTAATCCATTGCACACTATTAATATATTATTCTATTAATATATTCATCTTTAAAGAAACTCTCTTTTCACAGACATATATTTCACTTGCAGTGAAGGAAGAAATGTTAATTTTCTTTACAGCATTATTCACAATTGTAATTTTGACTGAAAAGCTTTATTTACTGTTGCTGGCAGTATTAAAGAATCTTTCCCGTTATAGGACACCACACACCATATATCAAACAATTTTTTCTAGAAAAATATAAGTGTAAACTTGGAACTTTCAACGTGAATATATACTTTCACCGTCAGCTCATTTCGACAGTGATAAATGTTTTATAAACATAAGAGATATATTTAATTAGTTACTTAAAAAAAGGGGTAAAAACCAGACAGTAAAGTAGAAAGTTGGTCTGGCTTCATTTGATTATGGCAAAGTACTCTAGTTCTATCTGCCTAAGGGAAAGTGCTTTTGTGGAAGGCTTTCTGGGGTAAACTGGCTCGTATTCATTTTACACGGAGATGGGGAACTTTGAAAACGACTATGCAGCCAGCCCGTTTGCCGAGAATCGATTTCTGGTCCGAACTACTAGTTGTCAGCAACATTATGTCGGCCACTAGTGGGCTAAAGTCTAAAGACACACTTTGAAAACTTTTAATTGGCAAAACTTCTTTTGAAAACAAAAATGCTGTTATCAGAGATTAATAGGACATTTAAGTTAACAGCAGGCGATAGGCAGTGTCGGCGCATACATATCTTTCTGCAGAAACTTGTTTGGTGCAAATTGTTCTATAATGGGAAAGATCCATATTAAATTTAACTCACAAGCGGTCGAGCAGTAAGATTGCTTAATGCTGGGAGTTTCATGCAGGTTCAAATACTCTCGAACAGGTTATCTGAGTGAGAGTTTTAAAGTTATCCCCATGCATGAAGTGAATACTAGACAGTTTTTCTTAAAAAGTCTTGTCTTCCATGAAGGCATCCCGTCTATTAGACAGGTAGCCATCGAGTGCTTTGTCATAATATAACTAATCAATTTAAATTATATTTTGGTAAGTTAAACTATTTTAAACTCATTCGCTTCAAAATAATATTAATTCCAGTTTATTATAAAAATAATTAAGTTGATATCATACCTTTCTGGCAAACTTCTATTAACTGTGAATCTCATTTCACCATTGTGGTTGCATTTGAAGCGTATCTTATCTGTGGTTGTTAGACATAGGTATGACCCTTACCCAATTGGGAAAAGAATGTATTCAGCACGGACAAGAAGAAATGCTACGATCGTAAAATTTATAAGAATGGCATTTTCATATTCTAGATGATTATGCTTGCATAGTACAGGAGGGTAAGCTGCGTAAAGGTATAGAGATAACTTAATGGAGGAAAACTGATTGGAAAAAAAAAAAAAACAGTGATTGAGTAGATAAGACTGCTGAACATCAGTAGATCTGATGAACATAACGGCGAATCAGTATACTTCATAGCTCTGTGCAGTGTAAATTAAATGCCATTAAAAAGTGTTACACTTAGGCAGATAAAATTTGCTAGCTGTACCTTAATTAATTAACCAACTAACCATTAATAAAATCTTAGAAATCTGAATATTCAGTACTTCTGAAGAAATATCATGTGGATGTGTTCATCTGGAAAGGTAAAAATCTTAGATTTCGAATTTCGTAAATATGTAAGTAGTTAAAAAATTAAGAAAAGAAGGATAATGATATGTGACGATGCAACGCTATTTCGTGACTTAAAATTTCGCTGTGCTCTTTCTCGGGAAATCAAATGATCTGTTTTGGAATGAAAATTAAAATAATAATAAATATATATATACATATAAGGAATCTTAATTTGCACGTATCCTATTCATTTTGTGTTTCATTCATTCATTCATGTATTTATTACGTACAGGAACCAACAAGATTGTTTTTATTTGTGGGTACCACAATGAATTATTCAGTTGGTGTTCGCTTATATTTTCAGAAAAATTCATACTGAAATATATCTATTGTTTTTTAATAATAGTCAGTATGAAAAGGTTAACTGGAAATGAAACAAACATAATCTTTGAAAATTCCAGTCAAGACTGCACAGAATTTTGGAAAAACAACGTTTTTTTTTTTTTTTTTTTTTTTTTTTTTTTTTTTTTTATGAAAGATGCCTCGTATTATATTCACATTGAAGCGATACAACCAACATACACTTAATGTGAAAATAAGCACAATGATAACTGACTGATAAGATAGTATACAAGGTATATCAAAAACTGCCTCTGTGTGGCCTTTATTTTCAGGAAGTGTTTGTGGTAGAAATATACTTCCAATTACAAAAATGGTTTAAATGATGCAAATACTTATCCTATGATATTTTTAAAAAATAAATTTTGTAAACATTAAGAAATCTAACCGCTCCATGGTCCCTATAGTTATATTTAGTAAAAGTCTATATTCATTTTAAGGAATAAAAGATAAAATTTTTGCCCCCATTAGATAAAAACTGATAGAAATACTTAAAATTTGGGATTTCTGAGCACCAAATTAAATTTTTATCTCTTTTCTTGACGGCCCGGTTAAAAAGTAAATTAGGCTGATTATTCTTCCTTTTAATGTCATTCAATGAAACAGTTTTGTGATTTACTAGCATGAAAAAATTTTTAAATATATTTATTTTATTTATAATTTTGTTACATTAGGTACATTGAAAGCATTTTTATACAAATTTAACAAGTTTAGACATGCTAAAACATTTTAAGAATATTCACATGCCGTTTTATTACTTTGGGATCATAATGTAACAGTCACAAAAAGAAATTCATTGGAATAAAAATAATTTTCATTTTTAATTTATGCAAATGATGTTACAAATTGATTACTTAATCAAAGCTTCCCATTGTTTTTTAAAATGGGAATTTAATAAGAGTATATAGAGTCATTAGGTTATTTTAATATTGGAGACGTGAAAAATGAGTAGTGCCCTCTCTAGGACTCGAACTTGGACTTCTCGAATACGCGTCGAGTGTGCCAACCGTTACACCACGAAGGCACGATGAAAGGAGGAAGAAAATACCTTATCTATAACCTGAAGTCAATACAACGCAAGATAGAAAAAAGTTTTAAATTATTATAAAAATACTTTTACTCCAATCACTCTTTCTGACAAAAGATTTACCGTGAGGGACATTTACAAAAATGTTATTATACCGAAAATTCTTTATGGTATTAGCGCATGGGGGGATCGAGCAGGGGAGCTAGTCAAGACAAAGCATAAATTAGACTCATTGCAGAGGGCCTGGACACTTGTAATTACAAGATCATTTAGAACAGTCCCGACAGAAGTTGCGTGCTTACTGGCTGGTGTACTGCCTCTCTCACTACAATTTAAATTTACTTATGACAAAATTTGTCTGAAATATAATAGAAAATAGTGGATGAAGATAAAGCAATTACTACGAGGCTTTTTTAGGGCATGATCTGAGTTCAACCCATCCTAGCAAATGTTACGGTATATCCTACGATAAAGACTATAATTCAGCTCGACAAATTGAAATTTATACAGATGGATCAGGGTTTGCGGAGAGCGTCGGCTGTCCCTTACAAAACGTTCACTT